TTTTGAACAACGCCTCAGCAAACAATAATAAGCGATAATTGAACTGAAATTAACCATTTCTTACAAAGATATTAGTTCGCTATTAATTCCGAAAGAAAACGAGAACGAATCATACAAATAACCCAGAAAACGACGCTTCACGATAAATTCGGGCGAAATACGGAAGCGGAAAAGACAATATAATTAATCCTGGTACGAAAATTGCGACGGTATTCTGAGCGAGTATCGGCTCGAATCGACAACGAAGATGAGAGCGCTAATATTATCCGGTTATTTGTCCGAGCCCGCTTTTAGGGCCGGAGCTCGCAGGACAGAGCGAGGCTTTACGGAATAATCAGAATTTTCGGTACAAAAATAGTCGCGGATATCATTCCAACGAGAGCATAATTTCTATAGCCAGATCTACAACTTATCGCAACGGAATTTTCCCCGCAATTTCCGAATTCGCGAAACAAATCGACAGCTTACTAATTCAACATCCTACGTAACCGAAGATACTGAATACTTTTGCGAAGACGGATCATATAGGCGATAGGCGAATGATACTCTTAAATTTCAATAGCCGACGGTACACGGAGAATCTTCTCCGCCGATATCTCGCCTTTTTCTTCCGCGCCAATCGCTCAATTTTTCTCTCTATACTCTGGCGATTATTTCACACCACACTCTATAAATTCGGCCGACGCTACATATTATTCATTACGCGCCATTCGACAGCGTAATAGGCGCGACAAAGACGACCATATTTTATTACCCGTTGTTACGCTCTTTTCGGCGGCGTAATAAGCGCGCCGATGACGCAATTACTTTCACGCTCACTCTACCAAGAAATATCCAAAAACGCTTGCACGCACTCTTACATTTAACGACGACATACACGCAATCAGACATCCAAAAATCGCCCGGAGATACGTCCCGGGATATTCTGCGCGGTGACAACAGCGGTACGACAACCCGGGCGGTATTCGCTTTCACGATCCTTCGCGCACGCGATCGATATTCGCCGGTCGATAGCTTCGCGTATAGAACACCCGAAACCCGGAGAGAGACGAACGTTGCCTTATCAATTTATCGCCGACGTTACAATGGTCCTTCCTCGGTCGCTTGTCTCCGGTCGCCCGACAAATTCACGAAATATCACCGTCTCGGCAAACGGCTCGAGCGGTCGCGAAACACGAAAAAGATGGCGACGGCGGCAGAACGGCCGGCACGCGGACGAAATCGCGTACGTGGCTTACACAATGGATGGGCAACCTCACCGACAACGTTTCCTCTTGCAGGGGATGGTCCTCGGCCTCGTCCTCAATTCGGTCTCGCTAGCGGCGACAAGCACACAAAAGGTTCTCACGCGACAATCAATTAAACGACTTTATTCGCTCAGCGTCCGCACCAGAATGATCCTGGGATCTCGCGGCCCGGGGTCGATAGCGGCGTCAATGACCGCTTAGTGGGGTGCGCAGCCCCGCGGCCAATCAGGATACGGCACGCGAGAGGTCCTAACGCCTCGCGAGATCCGCGGCGCTTTTAGCGCTTCGCGCGTAATTAATTCAATTTGAATTATAGATTTATTGCTGCGGGCCCCGTTACAAGGGCCCGTTGGAGGCTCCGCTGTCGTTTGTCCTCCTCGGAGGGTAGCGTCGATCGGACTTCCGTCCTCCTTCCTGGGACGTGGGTAAATACCCGTGGTATCGTCCTTTCATCCGCTATTATCTCCTTCGTTCGCTGTCGTTAAGCGTCTTGCTGCAATCTTCCTTGCTGTGCTTCCGGTTCGCTGGATCTTCTCCGGCGAGGTGCCCGTTGTCGTTTATTACAAACAAAGAAACATATCGATATAATTAGTAAAAATCATTACAAAATACGATATCGCTCGTCTCTCCGGGGAGTGTCCGAGAACGCTCTCTCGAGGTTGATTCTGGCGCGGCCGCTCGGCCTGCGTCCCGTAAAATCTCGGGGCGGATGGACGCTATTAAAGGACGGCAACGTCACACCCCCCCATGCCAAGAGAGAACGTATCGGCTTCGGTCACCCATTGCCACTAATCGTACTATCACGCATTCGGGCGACCAAATTCCCCGGAGCCGAGGAAGACATAAACACAAAATATCGACACACACAAAGAAATTGGGTAACGTCTCACTGACGCCAACAATGCTAATTAACCAGCTATCGCTAGACGCGACCCTGGTGCGCGAAGCTGTCTCTCGCTGGGGTTCGCGGTTCCCATGACCTGGGTCCCGGCGGACGAAATCGCGCCGCGACACGCTAACGGCTAACCAAGGGAACTGAGAGGTGAAGCTGTGAGAAAGAAAGGGAAAGAAAAAAAAACACAGAACTAGAAACGAAAACTAGAAGGAAAAGAAAATTAGGTTTATTCGTTCCCTATATTCTTACATAAGGAGCCTATTCAGAAGACGACAGCGAGAAGGGAACAGACAGCGCGAGATAGGCATGATAGAGAGCGAGAAGAGGGAGAGCTCTCTCCGACAGCCGCTAGTAGGGGCGTGGGCGGGTGACTCCTCTTGCTCGGCGTCCTCGAGGGGGGTCCGGACCTGGGTGGCCTCGGCCTTCCTTATACGGCCCCTGGGCCAACCAACCCGAGCGGCAGTGTGGGCAATTCTTCACCGTTACCCCCGGTGTGCCGCAGCGAAAGCAGTAAATTCGCCTCTCTTCTCGGGGGCAAGTTCTGGCCAAGTGGGTGCTGGCGCCACAATTCCAGCATCCCCTCGGCGGATCCGGTAGGCTCAGCGGCGGTGATCCCGTGGGAGGCATCGGCCAATCGCTTATCTCGAGAGCTTTCCAAAACACTATAATTAAATACCTTTTCATTAAGTACTTTTTGAGTTATAAAGCTTGAAATAATTTCTTAATTTTACATAAACCATAAAATATCTAGTAAACCATTCATTTTTCGATTATCTTACCTTGATACTTTTATATACAAAATAATGAGAGGAATCAATTGGTGTAAAGAAAACATACAGTTGTTTTTAAGAAAAAATATGGAATTATTAATTGCAAATTACATTAAACCAATGTTCCTTTGCGTACTGGACGTGCTCTACACAAATTTCAAAAAGTTTCTTTTTTACATTTTGCCAATATCTCTTGTAATATGAGTTTATTATTTTAAGCTGAAGAGCGATAATATTCAAAAATGTATCCATTGGTCTTGATAGCCATTCTACTTCAGGTTCATCTTCGTTTTCGTGTACATACTTATATAGTTGAATATAGATTTCATTTTCGTTTGATCTTTCCATCGGTGTTTTTAAATTTGTTTGACGGCAGCTGTCGCATTTTGTATTTTCGTAGCGAGTAATGTATCCTGCGAAATATGCAATTGTATTTCTTTCATATGTTGAATTAAAGTTTTCCTCCTCGGTCATATTCATTAGATTATCGGAATTCAGAATATCTAGTAATTTCTTCAAAAGCTATCGCGATGATATTATCATAGTCGTCATTATCCATTGGATCCATTTCAAAGGTAAATTCTTCTTGTAATGGAATATTGTTTGTTTCCATTTCATCACGGACTATTAATGTATCATCATCGTTAACGAAGACGTTTTTTGAAAATTACGTTGCCTCTATTATTTCCCATTTTATAAATATTCCCTTGATAAAATATGGCGCAATGTTAACCGTACCATTCTGGCAGTTGGATTATGGTTGAATCCTCCACGTCCTCCAACTTTTCCGAATGTATGTTTTACAGAATTCTGGTTACACAATGCAGTGGCAAGTTTGAATTCTGGATTGTGTTTTGTTTGATAGAACGATACGTTGATAGAATTGCTTGTACAGTCGTAATCATTTCATCAAAGCACGGAGGTCTCGACATCTTGTTAAAAGAAGTACTCCACTTCGAATACATTCAATAAAAGATGTTAATAACTCTTCAATCATTATATTGGCATTTCATAATAGTCCTTTTTCTCCTATCTAATTATTGAAATGATATACATTCATAGCATCTATTATTTTACAAACTTCAAATTCATTTTACAAAAAAATCTGCAAATGCTTTCCATGAATTCCAATTACTTTTCAACACGCTACTTTGGCCTGTCAATATTGCTGCAACAAATCTCGTGCTTAACATTTGAAAAGCTCTTTTGACATTCATGGCTTCAAAATTGTTTGAATAAAAGTGCGTACATGTAATGTGACCCAATAAATGTGAAGTATTTAATTTTCTATCAAATTGCCACGTTGCAAAGAAGTCATAAAAAAGACAATTATTTCGCCATTCACATAAATATACTTATGCGATCTCAACTAGCTAATCAATCGCTTGATAAGATGAGGCCAATCAAAGGAAGCAAAATAAGTTTCATTGTTTAATGAGAAAAATGTTCATATAAAGAAATTTTCTAATAACTGTAAGTTTTCCTGTTTACTCCATCTTGGTCACATGTAATTAATTGTACATTTGCCCCTACCCAGTAAACGCTAGATATTCCTGGAATATTCATAAAATATTCCTAAAATCCAAAATAAACATCCCAAGAATATTCTAAAACATTCCGAAATATTTACAGAAAATACAAGGAATATTCCAATAAACGCAAAATGTTCCATTGTTTATCCATATTTGGAATATTCTTAGGACATTCATAAAAAACATTCGAAGGATATCTCACGTATATTCCACATATATATTCAGAATGATGATACAATACATTATACATAAAGATTAATTTAAGAAAACGGTTTCATAAAATTATTTAGACGATATTTCCTTTATAAATATTGCTCATTTATTTACAAATATATATAATATACATTCAAAAACATACGTACAATATAAAACACAAAACACTGTTTCTCGAAATAAAAAATAAAATTCAATTATACAATTTTCAGTTCAAATAATCTCAAACTTGAAAAATAAAATATACAGGAAAAGCGAGCCGAATATAACGAACAGAAAAGCTTTTTTCTATAATTCTTTAATAATAAAAATTATTTCTAAAATAAATCTATAAGGATTCAAAATAAACTGAAGATATAACTGAAAATAATAATTCATAATCTGAAAATATAACTGAAGATATAACAATTCATTAACTAATAACTACACATCATACAATCATTCGCACTCAATCGCTCAAATCGACAAAAATAGAAAGTTTTATGTATGTTCGTTACTTGAACATTGTATTGTTTCGCTACGAATAACTTTATCTTTAGCTCTGATAAGCCACTTTTCAATAATTTTTTTTACTTCTACTTGATTACTATGAACTTTTCTTATCACGGCTTCTGTAAAATAAATTAATTTTTCAAACACATTTGTTGTACATTACGTTATATTATGTTTATAACTAATTATTAATTAATAAATATAATTAATTCCCTGCTATTAAATATTATTATTACTTACTTTCTATTACTTTGCAGATTCTTAATTCACCAAAATTGCCTTTATGTGCTCTTTTTCCTTTATTTCATACACAATTTTGAAATGAACAGAGTATTCATAACTCTGCGAGTCATTTTTGTTATTGTAGAGCCATCAATTTCTTCCAATATCTACAACTGAAAAAAACATTTCGAACTTATGTTAATTTAAATATAGCGAAGTTAATTTGTAATATATCGAAAAATCTGACAAAAATGAAAAGTGAATTTTATAGATAATCTAAGGATAAGCCTCTCTCAATAACTTTTTACAATTTTGTAGCGGTTTTTCACATAATGATAAATTTTTCTATTTCTTTTAACATTTATTATATTTAAACTTACCAGTTTTTTTTCATTTTTCTTTTCCAACAAGAAATGCTCCATTTTTAAGATGTTCCTCAGTGGCTAAAGGTAATCTATTAATAATCTTCATTATTTTCTGTTTCTACTTCTTGATCTAAGCTGAATCGACGATCCAATTCTGTTAAAGTTTTAATTGTTTTCTCATTTTCAATTATTAATCTGATTATTTTATGCGTAAGTTCTTTCAAAATTTTTACAATATCTAAAACTATAAAAAGTTACTATATATAACTGAAACAAATATATTATTTATGTATAAATTTCTTGTATTGTTATATATAAATTTTTAAATAAATCTCTCACTAGTGTACATTTCTTCGTTAAATTGACTATTGTGTTCTATTTCACCTGTAATAAAAAAATATCAGTTTTATGTAAACAGAAAATTGATAAGATAAAACATTAAATATAATATCCTCATTAGAAAATTATACTCATAAAACTATTTACTTTTTGTATAATAACATTACTTTCATCAGCATTATCATTATCAGATATTAATTTCATATCCATGTCAATATCAGCGATCTCAATAGTTTGATATTCCATATTTTCTTTGTCGGACTATAAGCATTAATATACATTGAAAAATATTAGCGAAATTATTTTAAATTTAAAACATTTTTATGCTTGTCATTATTTTATATGCAATAGTCTTACTATCTTGTAAATTTGTTATACTGATTATAAGATTAACTTTTTCGATTTTATTGAAAAAAATTTTAGAAACTCTTATAACTTAATTGAAATAAATAAGACAGTTCTAGAAAATAATATGTTCAAATTCTTTAAGTAAAACATATATTACCATCGGTTGTTCCTATATTTGCATGTCTTACCTCCTCTAATTGTGTATTCATGGAATTTGTTTTTGGACAACTGTACATGTGTTCCATTTAGATAACAATGGAATTTCGTTTCCTCCATCAGACGATGTAAAATTAGCATCTGGCAATTTTTTAACACGTTCTCTTTTCTTTGCTTTTTCTATATCTGATTCTTCAGATGAGATGTCAGATATGTAACGCGCCTTCAGCAATTTTTTCCATGCTTTATCGAAATCATCTGCAATACATATTAAATCAAAAATATTACAAAGAGAAATGTTTGATATAAGATTAAAATAATGCACATAAAATATTATTTTTTATAAAAATATCAAAAAGGGCCATTCAAAAACTGAAAAACGATAGACATTCAACATAACAAACATTACACAAAAATGCTAATGATGTATCATAGTTTTAATAAAAATTTTCTAAGAATCTGGAATCGTCGACATTTACAATATGCAATTTAGTAAGAAAAGAGAAAAGTATTATTTCTATTTCAAAAATACATAAACACTTTAGAAATAAAATTCATTAACGAGAATTAATGACATAAAAATTAAATTTTCATTATCTCTTGCGACCGAATTTTTATGTACTAATATCCGCGAAAAAATACTACAAATTGAATATTACTATTATTATTAAATTTAATACTATAAGTTTAATAATATTTTTATATAAAATTACATATTTTTTAAAAAATATGCATACCATCAGATCTCATGATGCGCAGAACTTGATAGATGTCCCATAGTGAATTATCTTGTGGAATTTCCTTGTTTCTTACAGCTTTCATTATTCGAGACTTTGTTTTGTATGATGGAAAAATTACATTTTCTAAAGAATTAGGCACGATTTGAGTACAAGTTGTAAACCCGTGTCAAACAGACATATGACAAAGTTTTTTATTTCCTTCATTATATAATCTGCAAAATAATGTTTTAAATTAATGTTTTACGAATGTTTTTTGAGACATTGAGGTACAAATAAATGTACAATATATTTGTAAATTTTAATTTTCATGAAGTTACTAACAATAAGCAGGAAACAAATTAAATTTATTTTATAACTTTAATTTGTTTTCTGCTTATTGTTAGTAACTTCATGAAAATCAAAATTTACAAATATATTGTACATTTATTTATACCATGCAATGCAACGATAATCATACAATACAGGGTGCATAAATTTTTAATGTTATTACAATATTTTAGTTTCAAAATAGAAAATGCTTTGATTTTTAAAAATAAAATTTTTATTTTGATCATAATTATTGTAAATATAGTTAAATTGTTACAAATATAAGAATGAAATATAGAATAGGACAAAACGTTACGCATTAGTTCAAAATTTATCTTTCTTTTCCATTGGAATAGAAAGAGATAAATTCTAAAGTACAGTCAGGTCAGAAATAAAAAACAAATCCTATAATTTCAATTTCCTTATTTTATGTCAATTATACAATATAGTTGCATTTCCTTAGATTATATTCATCATATTCATTATATTCATAAAAGAATTATTTATTTAAACGCTAAAATATTATTTATATAATATCATAGTATCTTCGAAAAAGAGCAAGAAACGTACATAATATTTATATTTTTTAGACTCACCATATAATCTGAAATGCGAATTCTTTATGAAAATGCTTTATTTTCTATATGTAGAAGAGGAAATCCAATAAAGTTATTTAATTTTGGAAATAATATGTATTTTCTTCTTAAATTTTTGACAGACCAACATTGAAGTTCAGAGATATTGAAAAAGATATACACATTAATAATATAAGCAACTTCTGGGATAGACAAAAATTCTTCTTGGTTTCTAAAGTATTTGCCAATGATGAATATATCATTATGAATGTCGCGAGTAAAATATTCAATTTGCACTACAGTATTATCTATTAATTGACAATAGCCGTTCGCATTGTCTTTTCCTTTATATGTCACTCCATTAATTATTGCCATCCAAAATCCCTCACTTGAATATTCTGTATATTGGTTTGTTACACGACAAATGGAAACTTGTTTTGTTTCATTCTTCTTTTGCACTCTAACAAACATAATCTTGGCAAACATAATCAATCTCTTGATATCGTCTGCATAACTACTACAATCGCTGTGAAGCTTTTCTAATTAGTTTTTTCAGTTGTTGTAAATAATTTTCAAATTGGAAGGCACTGAAATTATCCAAAACACCGAAGATTTCAGCATCTGCAGTCAAATGTATGAAATTATGCACGTTGTATAATACTAAATAATCTCCATATATCATTTCGAAATCTCGAACAAAAAATCTTAACAACTGGTTAGCATAATAACCCAGTAAGCAAAATGTTAGCAGTCTGCCAGCAGCATGCGAGCACATTCAAATAGAATATTGCGGCAGATTGGCATCAACTGCGTCCGCATTAAGCTTGGGTTCTGCTAGCAGAATCTGTCAGCATAAACCGACAACAGATTGACAGCAGAAATCGAGCAGGATCTGTGCGTGCAATTTGATGTTAGATTGTCAGCAGAAATCGAGCAGAATCTGCGCATGCAACCTAATGAAAAATTGACAGCAGAAACTTCACAAGATTTGCGCTTACTTTTATTAATGTTATATAAATGCAACAAAATGGATTATTACAGATGCTAAATAACAATATTATCGGCAAGTTAAGGGGGCAAACCACATTAGACGGTTCAAAAAATCGATTTTTCTTTTATTGCATAAATCGTTAGTATAACTATTCAAGATTATGTTCCCAAAATTTCAAAATTCGAAGTCCTTCCTATACTATGAGTATAAAAGGGAGCGCCCCTCAGTTTACTGCTGGAGCGCACAGCAGGTAGAATGGAGCGGTCGCTCAGGTTGTCCCTTACTTACTTACTTGGCTCAATATGACACATGTACTATGGGATATTAGAAGGGAAGGGAGGATATTTTTCCAGATGTTTTTGTTTGTAAATGCTCACTATAGAGGGCTCGTGTAGAAGCGTCGGCATTATTTTGAATATATTTTGATAGAATCGGATGGGACCATCCACGCGTGTGCTGAAAGTTACAAGAGAAATATGTCTTCCCATCTAAAAGATGACCATTCTAGCACTTATCGAGTTAGTAGACCACGTAAGAGATCATTCCATGGAAATCAGCATTCTAACAAAGGAACAAGTTTCACCGAAAATGAAAGTGCTAGCGCAAAAAAACTGCAGAGTGCTACCAGTGAGATTGTGAATTCCTTGTTTTGTTATGATGCTTATGAAGAAGAAGAAGGATTGCTATTGGAATCGCAGATTAAAAGGTAAGCACTTTATATAATTTACTACTGTCTCGAATTTCTAGTTTTCGGTTAATTTTTTGTTCAAACGCATTTTTCTCGAAACGACTTTTTTTCGACTTGCGTGCACTCTAGCTCAAAAAATTATTGACCGATCCTTATAAAACAAAGTTGTGGTTATTATTTATTAAATTATCTATCAATTGAACCAACTTTTGGGATGATATCATAATTTAAAGTGTATTTTTTATTTGAAAAAGAACTGAAAAAAACTTTGAAAATTGAGATTTTTTTTTCAAATTCCCGTAAAACATTCAATTTTCAACGTTTTTAGCTGAAACCTGGTTCACCTAATAAGAAAACATGTTAATACTGTATGAAAACCTTTGTTTTGCTTTCAGATCAAAATTGTGACCTCCACATTGCACGCAAGCAACTAACGACTCTGACGACGACTTTCGATGGGTGGCAGCTTATAACTTTGACATTTCCGTCAAAAACGACTTGAAAAAAATCTGAGATGTAGAATATGTATGAATAAAATGACCTCAAAGTTTAAATAAATTCTAATTATTTTTTCCGTCTCAAAAAAATTCACAAAAAAGCTTAAAAATCAGCCTCCTAATGTAGTTTTCCTCCTTAATTAGAATTTTCTTAGAAAATGACATATATATAATATGTTATATCGTAATTATATCTCATATAGCGAAGGACTAATTCAATTTAATTAAATTAATAATAAAGTAAATGATAAAAGTAAACTTGTAAAACTTGAGATGTAATTTATTTAGAATTAAATTCTTGCTTTATGCCTCAAATAGGCAGTACATGAATAATTTTCCATTTATCATTTGATTCCAATCAGTTTAATATTCTGACTCTCATTTGCTTGTATCAGATATCAGAAATTAAAGTGATAGAAATTAAAATGATAATTACTATATTTTTAGTCTTTTATTCATATTCGCGACTTTATATATATTTCTGACAGAAATTCAATTACGAGAAAGAACAGCTCACGTAGCGGTAAGTGAAGGAACTATCGAATCATGCAAACCTTGTTCAATTTCTGCCACCAATCTGCTATGATAATTTTAAACAAATCCTGTTCAGTTTCTGCTATCAAATTATGTCAGCAGGTTTTGTAACATTTCTGCCGACATTCTGTTATCATTATTTGATATAACAAATTTTTTATACAATTTGCAATCATACTGTCGACAAAAATTTGTAGCAGAAATTGACAAAATTTGTTTGAACAGACTTTGCTGACTGGGAATGTGATACTAGTTGTGGCGAATATAAGATTCTTATAGCTAAATGCAAAAGTTTATGTATTGCTTGTCAGACAAAATATTAGCCAAAACAAAACGTCCAGTAAATAATAAAAATTGTCTGAATTCTGTCGCTTTCCAGAATTTAATATACTCTAAGGAACGAGGTTTTCTGCAAAACTGTTTTGGTATACAAGGCTTAGCTACTTTATCTAATACATCAGAAATAGTGTCGATAGCAGTTTGTTTCAAATGATTTCTCCCAAAAAGCCAAAATAGTAACATTTTTCGCATAACTCCTAAGCATACTAAATGCATGTAGTCAAGAGGTACATTAGAAATAGGACCAAAATGTCGAATCAATGTTAACAGCGAAATGCCTTTATGATGTTCCACTTGAGTTTGTATCAAGAAATCTCTATTCGATCTTAAAGTTGCTTGTGTATTCATAAAATAAGTTCGATACAGCTTGTTAGCTCCTTTTACAGTACATTTTGTGCAACTGTACCCTAGTAGCAGAATGACGTTAAATGACGTCTTAATAACGTCTTAATGATGTCATAGACAACTTTAAGACGTCTCTAGACGTCATCTTGTTACCTAGGTAGTAACCAGTATACGACATATTTAAGACAGCTGCTTTCGCTGGAGCATCACAAATTAATTTATCAATTTTAATATTATACGTCTTTCCTCGGCAATGATAGCCGGTTGTAATTAAATCTATTGTTTCATCTACAAAGTCTTTTAAAAAATTATTAAAATCTTCAGATTTTTTATACCCATAATAACATCCGATTAAAAATATTTGTTGAGAACAAGGAATTGAACCCAAAATAGGATATAAAGAACTACCAGATGATTTGAATAACGGAACTCCGTCAATATGATAGAAAGATATAGAATTTTCAAAGTTTCATCCGAACTAATTTCTTCAGATAATTTATCTAAACATGTTTTCAAACCGTTATGCCAATAATAACCTGGTTCAACAGATCTAATTAGACCGTTTGTAGGATTTCTCAATAATATATTGGCTTTCGCCGGTAATTGTGGATCTATTCGATTTTCTCAAGACTTGTAATAAACGTTCCAAAGAAGCATGAGTATCATCATGTACTGCCATGTACTGCCGTACCATCATGTATTGCCCAATTAGCAATATCATTACAAATACTATTTTCAGCATTTTTATCCTCACTACAGGATTCCTCAGAATTTTCTGGATCATAATCAAATTGTACATCAGAAAAAAGAAATGTATGTCTCGTTGTAACACTTGTTACATATAGAATGTGTAGTTTGTAATGTCATCAATCGCTCTCTATCAATATCATTATTTTGAATTATTGAAGTCGATAATCCATTATCTTTAAATAATTCTTTATGAACAGTATCAACATTTTCTAATACTGCAATATATTTTGCTGCATGTCTATTTTTACAAAGTGCTGTTGTAATTGTCATTAAAGCTGCTCGTTTATTAATCAATAGTTTTTCATGTGATTTTGAGTAATCTCGTATATCCTTCCTTCTTAACATAATTGTATTTAATACGTAAAAAAAAAAATAATACGTGATATAGAGCTGTAAGACTAAATATCTTATTAATTCTATATTTTCTATAAAATTTATGAAAGATTACATTTTAAATTATTATAATATAATACAGAGCAATCAATATCTTTTTGTAAATAGGAATTATATGAAAAATATAAATGGCACTTTATCATATACTTTATCGTACAAAATATGAAGAATTTTGTATGGAACGCATGCCTAGTCAATTGAAGAAGATACGTAGACATTTTGGATTTATCTGATAATTTTACATAAAAATAAAACATTAAAAATGTTTATACATAAATACATACATACCTACGTATGTACATACGTACGTACCTACGTACATACCCTATAAGACACAATCTTTCTAAAATATTGTATAAATATTATTAATAGTTAATAATATTTATACAATATCCTAGGAATATTGTGTGCTTATAGAGTACGTACATACGTACATACGTACGTACGTATGTATATATATGTATATATATGTATATATATGTACATATATGTATATATATATATATATATATATATATATATATATATATACAGGGTGGGGAAAAAGTATGGAAGCAAACAATTATTTCCGAAACTATTCATTTCTCGACAAAATGTCTTAGACATAATTTTTATGGTATGAAAAGATGTATTATGTGGCATAGACGGCATGACCTTGAAATGACCCTTACGAGCTGCATACAAATAACGTAAAAAATTTCAAATGGAACTCGTCAGTTTTTGTTACAGATTCTTGTAGCTGATGTCGAAACGTTTACAAAACACTGCATATGAGCCCCATTCCCTTAAAAACACTCCCAGTTACGAAACAATTGTGATACAAACAATTTGTATGCACATTGACATTGCTTACTGATTTCGCATCATGACGTTCAGTTGCGTCCACTAATAACATGTAATTGTACCTGTTGTCATATGATACACTGTCTATGAGTATTCATAGAATTTTTTTGATTTCTTGATCATCGCTACCTTATTTATTATTATCATTTATTTTATCCTTAAAAAAGTAGTCTATTTCTATTTCTATCTGTCTATTTTCAATTTCGTCGATACGAATTATCACAATTGTTTCGTAACTGGAAGTGTTTTTAAGGGAATGGGGCTCATATGCAGTGTTTTGTAAACGTTTCAACATCAGCTACAAGAATCTGTAACAAAAACTGACGAGTTCCATTTGAAATTTTTTACGTTATTTATATGCAGCTCGTAAGGGTCATTTCAAGGTCATGCCGTCTATGCCACATAATACATCTTTTCATACCATAAAAATTATGTCTAAGACATTTTGTCGAGAAATGAATAGTTTCGGAAATAATTGTTTGCTTCCATACTTTTTCCCCATCCTGTATATATACATGTGTGTGTGTCTGTACATATGTATACAGGGTAAGCCATTTTAAGTTACTCACCCCAGTAACTTTTTTATTTTTGAATGTACAACAAAATGTTTCAAATAATAGTTGCTTGACTTCGAGGGGGACAGAAGATGGTGGCAAAAATTTGACCTTGGATAGTCATTTGAAGATCATGTAAAGATCACCTTCATTTTCTTGAATGGAACCTACTATTTTTCATTGCATATTCTTGTAGCTTATCTCGAAAGCTTTCCAAAACACTATAATTAAGTATTTTTTCATTGAGTACTTTTAGAGTTATGAGGCTTGAAATAATTTTTTAATTTTACATAAACCGTAAAATATCTTGTAAAATATTCATTTTTCGATTATCTTACCTTAATACATTTATGTATAAAATAATGAGAGGAATCAATTGGTGTAAAGAAAACATACAGTTGTTTTTAAGAAAAAATATGGAATTGTTAATTGCAAATTACATATTTTTTCTTAGAAACAATTATCGCTTAATATTTTCTGTATTATCTTCGATAAGGTGACAAATCCCGGCATCTCTTGGCTCCATGGCGTTTTTTTTAATACGTAATTTTGTATGGTTTATAAAATCTTCTTTATTAAAACGATCTGCACATCTGAAATTCTGCCTTTCTGATGCTGGAGACCACTTAAGTAAATTTCATTACCTGTATAAATATTAATTTACAATTTATATACTGAAAAACATCACAATAACCAGTAGCAGATACTTTTAAATACTCTTTCAAAAATGTTTTTAAAAAAGTTTGGAAAATCTTTTTAAAAATATTATCGTAAATTGACGCGTAATCCGATTTTAAGAATCTAAAGTTTCGATAAAATTGTAGTTTCAAAAAAATCACAAGATTTTCGGCAATTCGCGAAAATTGTGTGCTTTCTCGACGCTTTCCGTTCGCGGCCGGCGACTGGTTTTCGATTGTTGCAAGTGTTTTTCGTGAATCAAAATAGACGATAATGTGAAGAAAATGATATTAGACAGATAAGCATTATATTCGACAGATAAGCATATAAAAAATGTAATTTCAAATTATAGAACTGTAAATTGTTTCGTTTTCCACAGAAGACTGATAAAAGATTTTGCATTTAAATAAGAAAAAATATTTGATGATAATAAATAAGCTAAATTTTGTAAAAAGAAATAGCTAAGTCTTAGAAATTTCAAATAATTATCTTCAATAAAATTTAATTAAAATTTTTTTAAATACACTGTAATGTGTAATAAGATAACAAACATATAACCTGGAGAAAATTAAACGCTTCTCGAAGTGTCAAAGAAGCATAAACGAGCAGAATAAACGCTTCTTAAAAGTTTCATTGACTTCCCATTAACTCTTCGCGATTTTAAATCTTCATGCATATTTCTTGAACGCTCCATAAAGTATGTACAAAACATTCCCCGTTACGTTTCCCTTACGCTTTAATATTTCATGTTTTCCTTTACGTTTCCCAAACGCTCCATAAAATGTGAACGAAGCACTCAGATACGCTTCCCATACACTTCATTAATTGACATTTAGAAACTCTTCATTTACACTTCCTAAACGTTCCATAAAATGTGAACAAACACTCCAATACGCTTCCCGCACACTTCAATGATTGACATTTTAGGAATTCTTCATTTACCCTTCCTAAACGTTTCATAAAATGTGAACGAACCACTCCAATACGCTTCCTATACACTTCAATGATTGATGGACTTAGAAAGATGGACTTCTTCATCCACATTTCTTCAACGCTTCTTCTTCTTCTTAGGTTTTTATGGCCTCTTCTGATCTGGTGACGATCAAGAAATCCTGGCCAACAACGGGTTATTAGTAAGAGAATGATAGGAGGTCAATTAGAGGATAGTGTGCCAAGAGGAGATGTTTTTCAGATGTGCAAATCGCAAGCTTTTAAGAAGGAAACTAGGGCATGAATAACCCCAGAGAGAGGATTAATTAAAAGTTCTGAAATCTTGTAGGGGCGTGATAGTCCTTTGAATCTTGAGAGTCGGTTCAAGAGAGATGTCCTGTGGGCTGCGTATAACGGGCAGTTCCAAAATATATGATCCGCGTCTTGAATGATGTAGCCGCATTGACAGTGGGAGTCTGAAACGAGTTCACAACGTTTAAGGCTGTAGTTCAAGGCGTAATGGTCGCTCCTAAGCCTGCAGCAGGTTACGATACTTTCTCTGTTTATTTTGAGTTTATGGAACCAGGGTTTTAATGTAATTTCCTTAAAGGACGCAAAATATTTTTTTCCTTTAAAACTGCCTTGAGTCTTGAGGAGACGAGAGGAGCTTTCGATGTATTTTCTCCGAGGGATAGAAAAGAAGTCAGAGTAAGGAAGTTGCTTTTCAGATAATTTCCCTGAGGAGATGGCTCTTTTCGCCAGAATGTCAGCTGTTTCATTTCCCAAAATGCCGGTGTGAGCCGGAATCCAGACAATAGTGTTATCCAATCCTTTTGCTTTTAAATCGTAGAGTCTTTGTTTGATGGCAAAAATTACATAGTTGTAGGAATGCGCCAAATTGACAGAAAGAAGAGCTTCGGTAACAGATTTGGAATCGGTGAAGATGACGGAATTTTTGATAGAATGAAGTGAGATGTATTCGAGAGTATAGAGGATAGCAAGAGCTTCACCAGTAAAGATGGATGAATAAGACTGAGTTTTGTAGAGTAGTTGTAAATGAGGAGAGGGAGAGTAGATTGCAAAACCGACATAGTCGTCGGATTTATTTTTAGAGGCATCGGTAAAAAAACAGGTGGAAGAGGATATTAATGTATTGTAGATTTCCATAAAGGGTATCTGGGGGATGGGTGCATTTTTGATTTTCTCTACTTCAGAAGGAGGCGTGATGATGACAGAAGGGAAAAATATAAGAGAATCATAACTTATAGAGTAAACTGCTGGATAATCAAATTTTGAGATGTAGATTTTGAGTCGAAGATAGACATTAAAGGCTTTGAATAAAATAAATTTTTCGGAAGGATTGCGTTTGCGGGATCTACGTGTATACCAAAGAAGAGCAAAAAGTTTGTCGATGAGCGGATGAGAATCAAGAGCAAATGATTTTAAAATGTATTTAGAGGTGAGAAATTCGAAACGAAATCTTATGGGGCCCTCACCAGCTTCCGCAAGGACGATGTTAGTCGGTGTGGTTTTGCGGAGCCCCAAGCAAGAACGCAGTGCGCGCAATTGAATACACTCTAAATGACGCATGAGAGAGTGATTATTGTAAGGAAAAGTAAGGCATCCGTATTCCATAGATCCCCTTATTAAAGCTTTGTAGATGTTTAAAAGAGATGAAGGTGCACCCCCCCACCAGGTACCTCTCAGCATGTTGAGGATATTCAGGAGCTTGGAACACCGGGTAGAGAGAGAAAGAATGTGATTGCGGCCAGAGAGGCGAAAGTCAAGGGTAATACCGAGAAATTTATGGGAATCGGTTGATTCCACCGTGTGACTACCGAGCTTGATGGAAAAAGCGAATGGATTTATATGTTTTTTGGTGAATATAACTAGAGAGGTTTTAGACGGGGATGCTGTGAGTCCTCTACCAGTGAGATGTTTAATAGCTTTGTTCGCGGAAGATTCAAGTTCGTTAAGAGCTTTATCTACCTGGGGAGAGCTAACAAAGATAGCAATATCGTCGGCGAATTGTACTATCTCACAGTCTTCGCCTATGTGTTTACGCAATTTAGATATATAGATGTTAAAGAGGATAGGGCTTAGGATAGAGCCTTGTGGAACTCCTTTGTAGGAGTAGCGAGTATCTGAGAGCTCGCTGTTGATTACGAATTGTAATCTGCGAAAGTGGATAAGTGAGTGAACAAATTGGCATAGAGTCGGAGGCATACCAAGATCTATAAGGTCAGAGATGAGTATAGAAGGAATGACGTCATCAAAAGCGTTGGAAAGGTCTAAGAAAAGGCATGCGGTGAAGGTGCCTCGGATGAAGCTGGTATGTATTTCTGTAGTAAGTATAGAAAGGTTGTCTTGACAAGATCTAAATTTACGAAAGCCAAATTGAGAGGAGGGTAGTTTTTCGTACCTTTCCATCCACCAGTCGAATCTGAGGAGGATAAGCTTTTCCATAATTTTGAGACAACAAGAGGTGAGTGATATAGGGCGAAATTTTCCTGGCGAAGATTTTGGAATTAGAAAAATCAGTGAATGAGTCCATGAATCGGGGAATTCTCCCGTGAAAAAGAGGCTGTTTAGAATAGTGAGAAAAATTGAGAGGTAAGATGTGGGAAGGCAAGAAAGCGTAAAATAATCTATCTGATCTATTCCGGGAGAAGAGGATTTATTTTTGAGAGCGGAGATGACATGATGGAGTTCGTCGAGCTGAAAGGGAGAATCAAAGATGCGACAAGAGTAATAGTAGTTCGAAAAGAGGTGAGTAAGAGAAAGCTTATGAAGACATGAAGGAGGGGAGATAGAATTAATAAGATCAGATATTTCAGGTGAGATGTCATTTGAAAAGGGAGAGGGAGAGGGGATAGTATTAAGGAATCTGTTCTTGAATCTTCTAACAAATCGCCACAATGTGGAGATACTGGTAGAGGTAGTAATAGACTCACAGAAGGCCCTCCAGCCCATGCGTTTTGATTGACGAAGGATTTTTCTTGTGGAAGCTTCCTGTTTTTTGAGGTTAAGGTAATTTGAACTAGAGGGATTTCCACGAAAGGCACGGAGCGCCTTTTTTCTGAGTTCAACAGCTCGAGAACATTGGTCGTTCCACCAAGGTGCAGGAGGGCGAGTGAAGTGAGACGGATGAGATTTGGTAATCGAGGAATTTTTTTGTTGATGCTGAGGTGAAGTGAGATTGGAAGATTTGCTTGCTGGAAGTAAAGAGTTTATAGTATCGACTAAAAAGCTGCAAAAGGTGTCATATTTTTCAGATGGAGAAGAGGCTAGATCAATACTTTCCGAAAGAGAAGAGAAAGAAAGCGAGAAAGCGGCAGAGAGAGTCTTGCGACCAATCTTAGAAGAAGGAAGTTTATGAGAAAAGAAGGAGCGAGATTGAAAAGGTAGATTGAGAGATATTATGGTTGGTATATGATCACTACCCATCGTGTCGTCAAAGGAGTTCCAAGTGCAGAAGGGAGTTAAACTCGAGGAGACAAAAGTTAAATCGATTACAGAGGAGGAATGAACAGAGTATGAGATGTAAGTAGGGGTACCGTCATTGATAGGGAAGAGAGAAAATTCTTGGGAAGAGTTTGACAGGGAGATGCCCACAGTGTTATTATGATTACAACCCCAAGAGACATGGTGAGCATTAAAATCGCCTGTTATGACGATATGGCCAGGAGATGGAATAGAATCAAAAAGATTTTCCCAAGTAAAGGAAGGAGAATTTGAGGGGTGTCTATAGAGCGAGATGATAGATAAATCGAAATGTAAAGAGGAAATTTTCGCTCCCACCGTCTCAAGGGAATCGTCTAGATAAAATAAAGAGTTAAGCTTTGTGAAAGGAATCGTATTTTTAATGGCGAGGAGAACACCGCCTGATTTATTAGAAGGACCGTCTCTCCGAAGGATATGAAAATCTTTAAGAGAAAAAGTTTTATCTGGAGAGAGCCATGTTTCGGACAGCGCAAGGATGTCGAATTGCTTACAGACGTGAGAAAGGAAGTCAATTTTATTAAGAATACCATGGCAGTTCCATTGTAGCAGGGTGAGATCATTATGAGAGGTTGTGCGATTCATGTTATGTGGAAGGGGGAGAGGAGGGATTGTCAGAACTAGTAGGGAGATTACGAATAAAATGTATGATAGAAGGGACAAATTCAGATAGATTAGAAGAGGAGAGTAAGGGTAAAAGTTCCATAATAAGGCGGATAACGTGCTTGAGGGCATCTTGGGGAGGAATAGGGGGATCTGAGAGAGGAGGGTTAAGAGTAGGGGAAGATTTGGATGAGTGAATGAGGGGGGGGGTTGTAGTAAAGGGAGGGGATGCCGAAAATGAAACAGAGGGATTGCAACGCGGAGGATAATAAGGGGGGGAAGGAGTCTGAGGATGCTTGTGTTTCATGTATTTATTTGAGTGAGGATGGGGAAGGGAGGAGGCAGGAAATTTAGGAACAGTGGACTTATTACGGACTGGAGGATAAAGAGAAGGAGAAGGAGGGTTAGTAAGAGAAGGGAGATTCGCAGCTTGAGCATAGGAGAGGTGAGGTGAAGTAAGATCAAGCGGAGCGGAATAGGCATGTGAAGTATGATTAGAAGGGTGGATAGAAAAGCGGGGAGAGTTTAGTGAGGGAAAGTCCTCAGAAGAGGAGGAGAAGGAGGGGGGAGTTCTGTTACCTTTGAAGATCTCTTTGGCGTCAATAAGGGAAATATTCCTGTAGGCTGCGTACTTCCTTATTTCTTGTTGCAGAATGAATTCGGGACAGGATAGTGAGTCCGCACGATGTTCCCCCAAGCAGTTAACACACTTGGGAAGTTGACGTTTCTGAAGGCAGTCTTCTTCTGAAAAGATGTGGCCTTTTTCTGCGCAATGCTTACAACGAGGTTGGCTCTTGCAGTTGATTTTGATATGTCCAAATCTAAAACAATTGTTGCATCGTGAGGCTCTGGCAACATAAGGAGACACCGGATAACTAACATGAAACATGTATATGTGTTTAGGGATTTTTTGTCCTTCGAAGGAGAGCGCTACAGTGTAGGATGAAGAATAAGAAGCTCCTGAGTTTGAATCATGTGCAGAGTCAGATTGAGAAGGCGTAGAAATTCTACGATTCAGTCTGTTAGCTGCAACCACTTTGAAGGGACTGATAATGTTATCTATAATTTCCTGTTCTGTGAGCTCAAGTGGCACATGTCGTATGATGCCTTTCCTTGAGATGCGAAATGGGGGGATAAAAGCTTCCAGATCTTTTGAGGATAGCTTTCTCTCACTAACAAGAGCGTTTGCGGCTTCTCTTGATTTGAAAAAAATAGAAGCTTTGGAAAATCCCACTTTTTTAATTTCGAGGATGTCATCAATGTTTAGCTCGCAAGCTGCTCTTCCTACTTGTACGGGATGAAGTTGTGCTTTGGGATTAGATATCCGCTGCACGTGGACATCGAATGGCCCTGCGTTATTAGAGGAATATCTATTGTTCCTGATAGTATCCGTTAGAGATGTAACGGATCCAGAAATCGATGGCTGGTGAGACGGAATGCTGCTCTCTGTGTTTGATCGCGATATTTTATTAGAAGATGACGAAGATTCTTGATCGTTAGGCCTCTTGCCTAAGATTTTCGTATGGGAAGTAGCTGCGGGTCCGGACTCTGAGATTAATGACGCAAGAGCAGCGGACATTTCAGGGTCTTCTAAGTCCATTTTAATAGACATTTTCGGTAGTAAATGCAAGACTAAGTGTACTTACAGGCAGTAAGAATTCAGTAAAAATCTTCGACTGTTGCGTGGATGAAATCCTCTCTCCAGGAGGAAGAGGTGAAGGAAAGGAATTGGCGGAAGGCCAGCGGCACAATGGCCGAGGCTCGAGACAAAGGCGTGATAACGTCCAGAAGAGTCGAGTGATAATATTTGCTCAAACTTTATAGGGCCGCCAAAAATTTTTCGCGTCCAGAGGAGGCACACAAGTATCAAAGCAAATGAGACTAAAACTTAGGCTCGAGGTAGCCCAGAAATGGGCTGATTAATAAAATTCTGCGGAAGCACTCAAATATACGTCGCACTAGTCACAGTACCAAGATGGCGGTCCCTCGACAGTACTTCAGATCAGGTAACTCCTACATCTCGGAGCATAGACGTATTCTCTTCAACGCTTAAACACTGCACAAAACATTCAGAATGTTTTGAAATAGAGCAATGACTTAATTGAAAATTTACAAGAAATATAATTGAATACCCATTACTATCATTGGCGAAATTATTATGTAGAGTGTCAAGATTCGAATTATAATAACAGCTAATACTTATTGACGAGACGAACAAACTTCAGGAAATTTTTAATAAAATTATTCTATAATAGGTATTCATAGTTCGGTCTTATATTTAAGATCATCTTAAGAACTCATTCAATCAATCAAATAGCTACAATGCAGCTATTGATTGGTGGAATAAGTTCTTAAGATAATCTTAAATGTACGATCGAACTATGAATACCGGCCAATATATCTATAATCTTTCTGTTATGTCTTTCATGAAATGTATTAAATAATTACAATTTTATTGAAATTTGTTAAATCAAATCAATTCATAAATATTTTTAATTATAAATATATATATATATATATATATATATATATATATATTGTGACGTTGCCGTCCTTTAAAGCGTCCATCCGCTTCGAGATTTTACGGGACGCGGGCCGAGCGGCCGCGCCAGAATCAACCTCGAGAGAGCGTTCTCGGAAACTCCCCGGAGAGACGAGCGATATCGTATTTTGTAATCATTTTATTAATTATATCGATATGTTTCTTTGTTTGTAATAAACGACAACGGGCACCTCGCCGGAGAGGATCCGGAGGACCGGAAGCCCATCAAGGAAGATTGCAGCAAGACGCTTAACGACAGCGAACGGAGGAGATAATAGCGCTTGAAAGGACGATACCAGGGGAATCCGCTTGCGTCCCAGGAAGGAGGACGGAAGTCCGAGCAACGCTACCCTCCGAGGAGGACAAACGACAGCGGAGCCTCCAACGGGCCCTTGTACCGGGGCCCGCGACAGCGATTATATAATTCAAATTGAATTAATTGCGCGTGAAGCGCTAAAAGCGCCGCGGATCTCGCGAGGCGCTAGGACCTCTCGCGTGCCGTATCCTGATTGGCCGCGGGGCTGCGCACCCCACTAAGCGGTCATTGACGCCGCTATCGACCCCGGGCCGCGAGATCCCAGGATCATTCTGGTGCGGACGCTTGCTTGATAGTCTTATCGTTTTGATTGTCGCGTGAGACCCTTTTTGTGTGTGTCGCTGATATTGAGAGACCGAGCAGAGGACGAGGCCGAGGACCACCTCAGCAGGAGGAAGTGTTATCGGTGAGGTTGCCCATCTTTTCGTGTAAGCCACGTACGCGATTTCGTCCGCGTGCCGGCCGTTCTGCCGCCGTCGCCATCTTTTTCGTGTTTCGCGACTGCTCGAGCCGTTTGCCGAGACGGTGATATTTCGTGAATTTGTCGGGCGACCGGAGGCAAGCGACCGAGGAAGGACCATTGTAACGTCGGCGATAAATTGATAAGGCAACGTTCGTCTCTCTCCGGGTTTCGGGTGTTCTTTATGCGAAGCTATCGACCGGCGAATATCGACCGCGTGCGCGAAGGATCGTGAAAGCGAATACCGCATGGGTTGTCGTACCGCTGTTGTCGCCGCGTAGAATATCCCGGGACGCATCTCCGGGCGATTTTTGGATGTCTGATTGCGTGTATGTCATCGTTAATTGTAAGAGTGCGTCTGAGCGTGTTTGATATTTCATAGTAGAGTGAGCGCGAAAGTATTTGCGTCATTGTCGCGCTTATTACGCCGCCGAAAAGAGCGTAATAAAGGATAACAGAATATGGGCGTCTTTGTCGCGCTTATTACGCTATCGCATGGCGCGTAATACATAATATGTAGCGTCTGCCGGATTTATAGAGTGTGGTGTGAGATAATCGCCAGAGTATAGAGAGTAAAATTGAGCGAGTAGCGCGGAAGAAAAGGGCGAGATATCGGCGGAAAAAATTCTCCGTGTACCGTCGGCTAATGCAAGTTAAGAGTATCGTTCGCCTATCGCATATATGATCCGTCTTCGAAAAATTATCCCGTATTTTCGGTTAATTATGTTGTCGAACTATTAAGCTGCCGATTTGTTTCGCGAATTAGGAAGTAGCGGGGAAAATTTCGTTGCGATCAGTTGTAGATCGGGCTATAGAAATTATGCTCTCATTTGAATGAGATCCGCGAATATTTTGTGCCGAAAATTCTTATTATTCCGTAAAGCCTCGCTCTGTCCTGCGAACTCCGGCCATAAAAACGGGCTCGGATAAATAACCCGGTTGTATTAGCGCTCTCATTCTCGTTGTCGATTCGAGCAGATCTTTGTTCAGAATACCGTCGCAATTTTCGTGCCAGGATCAATTATATTGTCTTTTTCGCTTTCGTATTTCGTCCGAATGTATTGTGGACCGTCGTTTCTTGATTTGTATAATTCGTTCTCGTTTTTCGGGGAATTAATAGCGAACTAATATCTTTGTCAGGAATGGTTAATTTCAGTTCAATTATCGTTTATTATTGTTTGCTGAGGCATTGTTCAAAACTGATTCAAGGCATGTTATTGATTTGTTAATTATTCACTCGAAGTGTTACTTTATTTTTCTAGTAATAAACTTGTTATTTTTTTTTTGTTCAAATCGCATAATTTATTTAAGTATTCGTCTCGCTTGGTTGTCGCTTGTCGTTCGTCTGTCATCCGTTAATTTCGCGAAGACTCGCATAATCAATTAACTTTCCCTAATAACCCCTCCCCTTTACCGTTAGGCGAGCTAGTCGGCCCGCGGCGAAGCAGGCTATCGTTTTCTTTTAACGTCTTTCGGCTTTTCGCGAAAACTGATGCGTGAAAGACCGCATCTGGCGCCCAGCTTTTCGATATATCGATACGGTCTCCGCTTCGCCGCGGCTCGCGCGAGGACGTCCTCCATCCCTGTTCCTCCGCACGCGAGTATAATCATTCCGTTATCGTTTTTGACGGCGTTTTCGCTCCCCCGCGCACGCTCCCGTCCAACATCTTGAGGAGTGTCGCGATTCATTTTGAATTACAATTGAAAAAAATCGTCGCAATATATATATATATGTATATACAGGGTCTACCAAAAGTGTGGAAACCCCTAAATATCTCGGAAAATATACGTTTTACAGAAAAGTGTTTCCAACAAAAGTTGTAGGGTTTAAGAAGATCTATATACTGATTCTATCAGTTTGACCTTGGATGGCGTCGTCAAGGTCAGGTCAAGGTCACATTGACTTTTTTAAATGACACCCCCTACATTTTATTGCATATTCTTATAGCTTAATTCAAGAGCTTTCCAAAACACTATAATAATGTTCATTTTTATTAAGTACTTTGCGAGTTATGAGGGTTGAAATAATTTCTTAATTTTACATAAACCATAAAATATCTAGTAAACCATTCATTTTTCGATTATCTTACCTTCATACTTTTATGTACAAATTAATGAGAGGAATCAATTGGTGTAAAGAAAACACATAGTTGTTTCTAAGAAAAAATATGTAATTTACAATTAACAATTCCATATTTTTTCTTCGAAACAACTGTATGTACTTTACACCAATTGATTCCTCTCATTATTTTGTACATAAAAGTATTAAGGTAAAATAATCCAAAAATGAATTTTTTACTAGATATTTTATGGTTTATGTAAAATTAAAAATTACTTCAAACCTCGTAACTTGAAAAGTATTCAATGAAGAAATACTTTATTATAGTGTTTTGGAAAGCTCTCGAAGTAAGCTACAAAAATATGCAATAAAAAATAGGGAGTTCCATTTAAAAAATTCAAGTTGACCTTGCCCTAAGTTTGGCGACGTCACTCAATGTCAAATGGATATTACAGTTAAATATATCTTTTTAATCCTTACAACTTTTGTCTAAAGCGTTTTGTTCTAAAATGCATTCTATGTGAGATATTCGACTGTGTCCAGACTTTTGGGACACTCTGTATATATATATATATATATAAGTGAAAGAGGCTCCTATCTAAATAAATTAAACAGTAATCGGGCTTAAGGAGCTAATATTATGCAATAATGTTAAAGTCAATAAATAAGAATAAATTTAATAACGTTGCAATACATTTAAATTAAGTAACTATTAATGACTGTGCGCATTATGTGATGAAATGTATAAGTAACTATTAATGAATATGCGCATTATATGATGAGATGTAAACGTACATTTCTGTCCTCAACTGGACTCTCTTCAGTACAATAAAAAAAAAAAAATTGTTAGGAAAATTAAAACTTAAAAATTACAAGGATTACGCTTATCGCATGAATGGTATCCGAGTGGACCGTATATTCGGCTGTGTAATTAACTGTGCAAATTCTGAGCAGTATTAGATGTCGACCACGTGGTGGATGTTTCCAGGACGTCTCTCCTCCCCTCATATTCTCCGTACAGTGTCTTGGCAAAGACATGCAGAAAGAAACAAGCAAAGAGGCCGTGATTGTTCTAAATTCAGATTAGATCCGTAAATCTATTAGTTGTCTAACTATAACTCAAAAATTAAAAATTCTTTGTCAAACACTCACCACATGAAATCGACCGAATAAAACGACGCAATAAAGCCACAGTACAGGATAATACATTCGTCTCGAAGAAAGACATTAAATAGATTATTAGTGTCAAAGTTCAAAGATAAACAAAGCGTCCAAAATCAAAACAAAATCATGACGTTAAGTATAATAAAATCTTTGAATCGGAAACAAAGAAAGTACGTTGATTTGATTAAAATTTTTTGAAAGTTTCAATGATCGGTAAATAGGAATTATGTAATAATTCGGTGTCTTCTTGTAAATTAAGACCTGCAGTCTGTCTCTTTATGAATAACATTTCAGATGTCCTAAAATAGCATGGCTCATTGTCAAGAATCTGAACGCCCTCCCAATCAAAATCATGTTTATGTTGGAGTCTATGTTCGGTGATAACAGAATTTTTTTGAGTGCAACTATTTATCTGGTTGCGATGCTCTGCAATTCTAGTTTTTATCAATCTTTTAGTTTGGCCGACATACGAGGCCTCACAATCCTTACAATTAATGCGGTAGACAACATTATTCTTAGAAAATTTGGGGAGAGGATCCTTTAAAGCTCTGATATATGGTTTTAAATTATCCAGTAGTATAAGCGGGTCGAAAACCGGCTTTCTTCGTAAGCGAATTAAATTTTTCGGATACTGATTTTATATAAGGTAGCAAGAAAAAGGGTCGAGGGTCTGCAGTCTTGTTTATTTTAGAATCTAATAAATTATTCCGGTTGAGTAAATATTTTAGACGGGAATTGATTGTGTCAAATATAAAATTAAGCGGATAACCATGAAAATTTCTATGATAAGGGTAACATTTTTTTGATGAAAAGTAGGATCCGACAAAAGAAAAACCCTGTCTGTAAGTCCAATTATCGTGCCCTTTTTTTGACATGTCGGATGGTGTGAGAAGTAATTTAAGTAACGTCCAGAAAATGTAGGTTTATGATACCAGTCAAAAATAAAATGGCCATCCTGCACGATGATAGTACGTCTAGAAAATTCAATCTGTTATTGTCACCTATTTCTATCGTAAACTGTAATCTGGGATGGAAAGAGTTGAAAACATCTAACACTGATTCAAGGCTATCGCAAGGAACCATTAATGCTATATCGTCTACATATCTGATATACATCGGGATCGTGAACGGCAAACTAGACAATGCCTTATATTCTAAATCCTGCAGTACAATGTCCGCTATGATAGGTGACAAAGGAGAACCCATCGGTGTGCCAAATGTCTGTTTATAAATTATATTGTTGAAAGTGAAATAAGTGGAGTTTAAGATTAAATCCCCAGCCACAATGAACTCATGTAACGGAATGCTTGTATTCCCTGAAATGAACTCCCATCTGTTTTTTATTCCTTCTATAACTAAATTATGTGGAATTTATATATTTATTTTATATATATATATATATATATATATATATATAACTATTAATTGTTGTTAAATACATATATATACTGTATAACACATAATTCTTATTATGAAGTGATCAATACATATATCAACTTTTTTCTCCATTTTATCTTTCACAAATTACTGGAAAATTAAGTTATATATATATATATATATATATATATATATATATATATATATAACTATTAATTGTTGTTAAATACATCATATGAATACTAATATCTTAAGTACTATTTTCCACAAAATATGGTGCTATACATCCAATAAAATAATCATCTGTGTAAGTTATAATATTTAGTTTCATTTAAGTATAATTTTCATATTTTAAAAAATCAGAAATTTTCCTTAATTCGCTTTTATCAATTAAAATACGAAGCAAACATGTAAAAAAATATATATATATATATATATATATCTCAAATACGTACTTATAATATATATAATATATTTGATAAGAATAATATAAAATGAAATAACTTATGGGAATATAATATACATCTATATTCAAAGGCCAGTTTTGTTTATTGTTATTTCTAACAAATTACTGCACAAATACTGAGGAGGAAACAAACCGCATGTCCCATTCATTTCCCATTTTGCTTAAAACAATTGCATCACAACCCATAATGAGATATATTTGTTTTATAATTTCAATGTATTATAAATGCAATATTACAAGAAAAATATATATGCGAAACATTTGAAAAAGCTTACAGTTCAGTTTTTATAACTAATTTATCTATAAATGTTGTTTACACATTAAATATATCATTGAAAAAGTGTAAAAAATTATAACAAAAAATAATGATAAATAAGAAATTGAATCTTTGTTATTGTATCGCACATATATCACAAATTACTTAAATGCTATTTGAGATTTATATTTAAATAAAATATCGATATTATAATGTCATAAAACTTGAAAATGATTGGGCAAAACTCCATGTTGAATATGAACAAAATAGATGCCAATTCGATATAGTTGATTATATGTAAATAAAGACATTTTCACCTTATCTTCATTTAAGATGTATATAATGCCATTTATCGACTGAAATCATATATTATAATCATATATTATATTTTAGTAATTAAAATATAAAAAAATAATTAAAAAACAACAGTAAATAAATAAAACTTTTAATTATGACATGCAAATACAGAAATGTTACATAAATATAATATTTAATTTAAAAAATGCTATCGTATAACTGTTATAGTTATAATATAACTCCTGTTATAGTTTGGGATGTATAAAATAACATTTGTTAACTATAAATAAATATTATATCATTACAAATATGTATGTATAAAAAAGTTTATAAGTATAACTAAAAAAAAGTAACTAAAAAAAATTATTTAATCTAAATAAAATTTTTTATTTATTTCTATCGCTATTTATTACTTTTATAACTTACCTATCGGTTCTACAGATTGAGGTTCTACTAACTCAAATTCTTTTCCTAAAGTCTCTTTAGCAACTTCTGTGGTAATCTTAAAAGGACTATCCTCCACTGTTACATTAGAACTGTAAAAATAACATATATGTACATATATATATATATATATATATATATATATATATATATATACATATATACACACACAAACACACATTATTATTATTATTATCATTATCATTATCATTATCATTATTATTATTATCATTATCATTATTATTATCATTATTATTATTATTATTATTATTATTATTATTATTAGCGCGCGACGAAAAGAGACTCACTATTACGTGGTTACTAGGTGCACAATGAAGGGCTTACAAATGACAATAACTACATACGAATTATGTGTAACATTAAAGTTTCAGCAGCTGTATAACAATGCTATTTTTTTTCGCGTACGAATTGGTCGATCTTCTTAAATTAATTTCTTATTAATTATTATGAAAATCGTAAAATGGTACAGAATTTTTATTCAATTTAAATGGTTCTACCTGTACGCGAGAGGTGATATTTTTACCGGGCACTCTATGTATGTATATGCGTGTGGATGCGTGCATGTGTGTATATGTGACTCAGATGCCAAGTAGTACCCCAACAAACATCACATATACATGTGTTATATAACGGATATATTGTTGAGTGAGAAATTACAACTAACAGTTATATAACTGTTGCTTGACATTTGCTGAAATAAGTCCAAAATATAAAAATTTGAGAAATAAAGATTTTTACATTTACTTTTACCATAAATAATTTAACTAGCTTAATCATAGCTATCCGGAGTCTATCTGCCACTGTTTTCCATCTCTCAGCACAGTTGATAATAAATAATTTAACTAGTTAAAACTTTAACTGCAAGTTTTTTAATTGATTTGGAAAACAGATCTGTTATATTAATTGATAATATATTGTATTGTTTGCATTCTCAAATGTATTGATAGTATCGAAATTAAATTAAGGTGGATTTATACTACTTGGCATCTGGATCCTTGCCTCAACCTATATACTCATATTATATATAAAATATATAATTTGCAACAATTAATTATATATTTTTCTTAAAAACTGTATTTGATATCAATTAAAATTAAATTTTTTTACACTAATTGACCCCTCTCATTAATTTGTGTATAAAAGTATTGAAATGAGATCGTCAAAAAATGAATATTAGGTAAGATATTTTTTATAGTTCATATAAAATGACAAATTAAAGTAAAATTATGTAAAATTAAAATGAAATTCTAAATCTATAAATCTCTAAATTTAATTTTTTTTTCTTGTTTAATTTTTTAATCACTTTATTTTTATAACTTTTTATGATGAATATTGCAAAGAATTAATTTCTGTGAGAATCACACGGATACTATTTAAAAAAATTAAATTTTCATAATGTTGAAAAAAATCGACTTAAAATTCAAGATCAAGATTTTTTCTCCCTCAAAATTTATAAATCTTGTTCGAGGCTTTCTTTGTATGTCAAGTTTAGAAGATATAGAGAGCTGCTTTTGTTACAATGAGATATTCCTTCTATCTACGTATTTGTATATATGCATGCATGCATGTATGACATATTATCATTAACATATTATCTTGCTTGAACAGTATAAGATGTAACTATTGTGCAATGATGCAATTGCACTTTCAAAAGTAAATAAAATGTTTATGTTCAAAAATTTATTTTCGAGAAAATTGATTTTAATAATTTATCAAAAATATATTTGACTAAATTTGAAGAGTCCATTAGGTACTTCTTCTCTTAGATTTATATTTCAATTCGATTTTTAGATTTCTAAACATTAACGGTATGTTTTAATTTACTTAATTAAATGTAACTGAATTTCAATTTCTATAAAAATATAATAGTACAAAAATACAGCATACATATATCATTTTGACATTTTGACATACAGGATGGGCCATTTTAAGTGATCCACTCAAATATCTCTTAGGGAAAGCCTGCAATTAAAAAATGACCTCAGTAAAAGTTGTATGGCTTGAAGGGGGCCATCAGATAGTGGCAATAATTTGACCTTGGAGAGTCATTTGAAGATGACGTAAAGGTAACCTTCAATTTCTTAAATGGAACTCCCTATTTTTTATTACATATTCGTGTAGCTTATTTCGAGAGCTTTCCAAAACACTATAATAAAGTATTTCTTCATTGAGTACTTTTCGAGTTATGAGGCTTGAAATCATTTCTTAATTTTGTATAAACCGTAAAATATCTAGTAAAATATTCATTTTTCGATTATCTTGCTTTAATACTTTTATGTACAAAATAATGAGAGGAATCAATTGGTGTAAAGAAAACACATAGTTATTTTTAAGAAAAAATATGTAATTTGCAATTAACAATTACATATTTTTTCTTTGAAACAACTATGTGTTTTTTTTACACCAATTGATTTCTCTCATTATTTTGTACATAAAAGTATTAAAGCAAGATAATCGAACAATGAATATTTTACTAGATATTTTACGGTTTATACAAAATTAAGAAATGATTTCAAGTATCTCATATTCAAGATTCTCATAACTCGAAAAGTACTCAATGAAGAAATACTTTATTATAGTGTTTTGGAAAGCTCTCGAAATAAGCTACACGAATATGTAATAAAAAATAGGGAGTTCCATTTAAGAAATTGAAGGTTACCTTTACGTCATCTTCAAATGACTCTCCAAGGTCAAATCATTGCCACTATCTGATGGCCCCCTTCAAGCCATACAACTTTTACTCAGGTCATTTTTTGATTGCAGGCTTTCCCTAAGAGATATTTGAGTGGATCACTTAAAATGGCCCACCCTGTATATGATTTTAAAAACTTGTTTTCAAATTCAATTTTTTCGAAAATAATCTTGTATGAAATATTTTATTCTATTTTTGATTTATCTTTATGTAAAAAAATCACTATTTGCAATTGTATTAAAATTATCGTCATATATAAAACATAATTTATAAAAAAACTTATAAACCATATTATTCCAGTTGATGCTTCCTGTTTTACTAAATTTTGCCAATGTTGATGCACTTCATCAATAATGTGCAGTGCAAAATCTCGTGGTTTTGCTTCACCATTAAATGCAAATTGATTTTCCGGCTTTCCATCTGGGATTTTATATATCTTAAACCATTCAATCGTGGCTTTTAGTAAACCTGGACAATGTTTCTCGATATCATTTACATCTGTAATAATTTTTATTAGATATTAGATAAATAATAAAAAAAGTTTTTATACAACTATATGTCCAAAATTATTAGGCATTCTAAATTCTTCTCAGTGTGTAAGTCAAAATAAATATAACTCTATCAATTTCAATCAACTGATTATATAATGGTTGTCATTGAGAAGATATCCAGAGGACATAAAATATCCTCTGTCCTCTAGATATTTTATGGACGTCTTTTGGACATGATGTGTTGTTAGGGAAATTCTTGCAAATTCAATAATAAAATTTGAATTGTTATTTACTTTCACTGAATTTAAGACATTCTAATATTTTAAAATATTACTAAGACAAATGTAACAATAAAACAAATAATAGCAGAATAATAGAAAAAAAGAGTATAATAAAAGAATATAAAGTTTCTACATAGCAAGAAATAATTTAATACATATAGCTTTACTATTTTAAAACTGATTACAATAAATAACTTAAAAAATAATTAATATGGTCATGTTCGGCGGATAAAGGATAACAGACTGTTCAAACAAGTGCTAGAGTATAGCTACCATCGGGAAGGTGAAGGAGAGGAAGACCGAAGTGGATGTGGATAGAAATCAATGAGTGAAAGAAATATCGCAGAGGTACAATGGAAAGACCGAAAGGGATAGAAACTAGATGTCAGACAACTTCGAAAGATGTTCTGAATCGAATACATATATATATATACAGGGTGTCAATTAAGTCCCGGGACGGCTGAATATTTTCTCATGTAAGGTATTTTTGAAAAAGGTCAAGGTCATTTCTGAAGTAATTTTCAACGAGGAATTCAACGGTGACCTTCAATTTGACCTTGAGCTTGACCTTCAAGGTTATTTGAAGGTCAAAGTGTTTTTTTTAAATAGGAACCCCTATTTTTGATTGTATATTCTTATAGCTGACCTCGAGAGCTTTCCAAAACACTATAATAAAATATTTTTCCCTCAAGCATTTATCGAGTTATGATGCTTCAAATCATTTCTTAATTTTACATAAACCGTAAAATATCTTGTAAAATATTCACTTTTCGATTATTTTACCTTAATACTTTTATGTACAAAATAATGAGAGGAATCAATTGGCGTAAAGAAAACATATAGTTGTTTTTAAGAAAAAATATGTAATTTGCAATTAACAATTCCATATTTTTTCTTAAAAACAACTATATGTTTTCTTTACGCCAATTGATTCCTCTCATTATTTTGTACATAAAAGTATTAAGGTAAAATAATCGAAAAGTGAATATTTTACAAGATATTTTACGGTTTATGTAAAATTAAGAAATGATTTGAAGCATCATAACTCGATAAATGCTTGAGGGAAAAATATTTTATTATAGTGTTTTGGAAAGCTCTCGAGGTCAGCTATAAGAATATACAATCAAAAATAGGGGTTCCTATTTAAAAAAAACACTTTGACCTTCAAATAACCTTGAAGGTCAAGCTCAAGGTCAAATTGAAGGTCACCGTTGAATTCCTCGTTGAAAATTACTTCAGAAATGACCTTGACCTTTTTCAAAAATACCTTACATGAGAAAATATTCAGCCGTCCCGGGACTTAATTGACACCCTGTATATGCAAGTATGTATATGTTTGCGAGAGCGCGAGAATAGATCGGGAAGTGAACGCGGCACGAGAGAAAGAGAACGATAAATCCCAATAATATACAAGGTATATCAAAAATTTAAGGAAATATTCCTCACACCTGAAAAAATAAAAAAATGTTATGTGGACATAGGTACGGAAATGTTTATTTCAGGAGTTATGTTGAAAATACAGTTAGATGTATTATTTATACAAGGAGAAATTTAGGATTAATTATTGTAGACGACAATCTTTTAATTAGGCTTATTTACATTTGGTTTTAATGCGACCTTGAGTATGTTACAATAAATGTTGAAATGCCTGGTACTCCGTACAACGGATTGTCTCGCAACCTGCAGTAATACAGTCACAAAGATCTTAAATATCACGCATTGGTGGCATTTTTGAACGTGTCCGTGAATTATTGCGTCGACGTGTCACTGCTTGTATTCAGGAAAATGGTGAACATTTTCAACATTTATTGTAACATACTCAAGGTCACATTAAAACCAAACTCCTAAAATAAACATTTCCGCACCTATGTCTATATAACATTTTTTCATCCTTCAGGTGTGAGGAATATCTCCTTAAATTTTTGACATACCTTTTTAGAACACCCTGTATATATAGAGAGTGTTTCATAAGTAGTGGGAAAAATTTCAGGAATGGATTCCTCATGTTTAGAGAAAAAAAAAGTTAATCAACATAGGTCCGGAAATGATTAGTTTTTGAGTTATTAAGATTTTTGTAATACAAAATTTTGTCTCATTTCTCGTCTTAGAAGTCCTTTTACAGGCATCAACAATGTTGCCGAACTTGAAAAACAATCGAATAGTCTTGAGCCATTTTTTATTTAAATTTTCCTTTTGTCTTTATATGGTGTTGAAATTAATTAATGCCTATTTATATAAATCATCTTGTTACTTTTTAACTCTCTGCTCTCATTACTGCCCGACTTCACTACTTTCCGTTATAGGCATACACTGATTAGCTAACTTTAATATCTTATAAAAACGAAAAAAAATTCAAATCAAAAAATGGTTTAGGACTTTTTGATTTGGATTGTGTTGTATCTGATGTGTGTTTCATGTTTGTTTAGTTACACTTTCAGTTCAATTTGGATTGTTGACTCGTATATATTTGCTCTGTGTTCTTCATATTCTATGTCTATTTAGTTATATCCTGTATTAATCTTATTAAGCTAATTTCAAAAAATCATTAAAATAAATATTAATTCATTATATTTCTTCGAAATATGCTAATAAAATGGTTAATAATTGTGGACATAGTTACATGTGTATATACATACACACATACATATCGCATACACCTACATACATACATACATACTTGCATATTTTAAATTGAATACGTTGATAATTCAGAATCGCATACAGAATACGCATTATCAAGAAAAATATTTTAGGTAAAAATTTTAAGATTTCAAACAAGACATAATAATATTATTGATTTGATCATATAGACTGCCACTGTCTTTTCAATATCGGTTGCAATGTTCCAAAAACGAATTTCCATTTTTTATTGTATATTTATTGTATATTTATATAGCTAATCTCGAAACATTTTCAAAATAAATAAATCTCTTATAAATCTTTTTGTTGATTAAAAAATTCCTTATAATGATAAATAAAATAAAGAATTTCCTTATAGTGTTAGATTTATCAAAATATCATTAATTAATATATATTAATATATTAACTTTATTCGATATATACTATGTAAAGATTGGCCGGTACACTTTTGTATACATGAAAATTTTTGTCAGATAGCATTATTATTTTTGAAATTCTAAAAATTTGTCTGAAATATTTTTTTTTGATAACACTGTTTCGAATTATTAACGTTTTTAATGTGAAATGGAACATTATAAATACACGCATGTATACACGAACGTCATCATTTTTTGTGTGCAAATAGAACCGGTTAAATCAAGTAGGGAAATTCTATAGTATTTTATGATTTTCACAATAATTAAGTAAAATTAATTTAAAAAAATAAGAAAAATTAATTTAAAAAAATAAGAAAAATTAATTTAAAAAAAATCGGTCAGATTGCGCGAGTATAAGTGCGTGGCGAGAAAAACCAACTCTGCAACATTTTACGTGGTTACTAGGCATGCGACGAAGCATTAATAACACAGATTTAAATATATTATACTAGACCGCTAAATGGTTTTACACGTAATTAGTTTTTGTTCGTAATCATAAGTTTGTAAGAACTGATCATAGTTGATTATTTTTTCACCACAAGAAAACCATAATTTGGCAGTTTTCTTATGTAGTTTTGTTAAGGTAAAAATGCTAAGGTAAAAATTTGTTAAGGTTTTTACACGGCTAAAAGTTTTTCGATCAAACTCCGATTAAATTAATCGATGATTAACTTTCAGTATTATCAACAGTATTTTTGCTAAATAATAATTTTTCTTTTTCTAAAATATATTTGATTTGTTGTAATTCTGTTGACTAAATTAATCAATGATTAATTCGAAGTTTGGTCGAAGTGGTCCTAAGTTTCATGATGTAAGATCAGTCATTTCTATGATCATCGACATATTGGCATCGAATTCTACAACACCTAGTATTTTGCTGTCAGAGAGAAATGGCTGATCTTGCATCATGAAACTTAGGACCACTTCGAACAAACTTCGAATTACATTATATATATGCAAGGTGTTCCATTTTAACTTTGCCATCGAAATATCTCGTTTAAAAGATACGAAAAAATGTTTCAGATAAAAATTGTATCCGAGAGGGATATAAGATGGTGCCGTTAGTTTGAGCTTGAAGAGTCACTTGAAGATCACCTCCAACTTTTTAAATGGGACACCCTATATGCTTTAACATATTCTTGTAGCTCATCTCGAGAGCTTTCCAAAACATTATAATTAAGTTAGTTTTCACTAAGTACTTTCCGAGTTCTGAGGCTTGAAATCATTTCTTAATTTTACATAAACCGTAAAATATTCATTTTTCAATTATCTTAATACTTTTATGTACAAAATAATGCAGTTAACAATTACATTTTTTTTCGAAACAATTATGTGTTTTCTTTACACCAATTGATTCTTCTCATTATTTTGTAAGTAAAAGTATTAAGGATGTTTTATCTATTTTCAAAATATTAAGAATTTAATGAAAATTGTACAGAATGTCCTTACATATGTTTAGAATCTTCAGTACAATTTTTAAATCGATTCACTAAAGCGTTCACAAGTTATAAGGATTTAAATTTGAACCGAATTAATATGTGTTTTTATGGAAAACGTATAACCACGTTGATTTAAATGACAAAAACACATGGAAATAATATTCAGAATTTGTTTAAAATTTGCAAAAGTTTAGATACAGAGGAAATATTTGGTCAAATAATATTATAACTATCTATATATATAACTATAATATTATAAGTATATATATATATATATATATATATATATATATATATATATATAATATTATACAACTACTAACTGGTTAAAAAGATATTAAATATAATTCATTGAAGTTAGCCATGTATCTATCACAAGGCGAAATTCTCTGCCAAAAGTTAATCATTTCGATTAACAAAATTCGGAATATTTCAGTAAAAACACAATAAATATTTAAAAAATCTCTGCACTGTAGTTAAGATTAAATTGTAATATTCCATACAATTTCTTACTCAAAATACACCAAAAGTGGATATATTCGTCAATATTGATTTTCAGCTACTTTTTGCTGGGATTGTACATACAAAACATTCTTAAGGTAAGATAATCGAAAAATGAATATTTTACAAGTTATTTTACAGTTTATGTAAAATTAAGAAATGATTTCAAGCCTCATAACTCGGAAAGTACTTAATAAAAACTAACTTAATTATAGTGTTTTGGAAAGCTCTCGAAGTCAACTACAAAAACATGCAATAAAAAATATAGTGTTGTAGTGCAATAAAAAATGTAGTGTATAAAAATTGTGACCTTCAAATAACTCTTCAAAGTCAAACCAATGGTATCCTTTTATGATCCTCTTGAAACTGTACAACTTTTGTCTGAAACATTTTTGTCTTAAACTTATGGATTTTGAGATATTTCAGTGCGTAGATTAAAATGGCCTACCCTGTATATAACACCTAACACATATAATAAAAATATAATAAACATGTAGATTAGACTATATATTTACCATTCATTTGGTTTGCCAAAGGATCATTAACATCAATTACAATAATCTTCCAATCAGTCTCACCTAAAATAAAATTTCTTTATAATAAAAAATATGTATATATGTATATATGTATGTGTGTATTACAAAATTTTATTTGTAAATTATTTTAACAAATATATTTGCAACACGTATTTTATCTTGTTTATTTACCTTCGTCAATGAGTGCTACTGTTCCAAGAATTTTTACTTTTAATACTTCACCTCGCTTTGCAACCTATATAAGTGCAAATATTTTTTTCAATATTTATTATGTGGTGAATAAGATTATATAAAGTACATTGCTGCAATTATTTTTCTCTCTTACCCTATAACCTATTTCGAGAACATCAATAGGATCATTGTCACCTTTGCAACCTGTTGCTTCATCCAAAACTTCAGGATTTTCCCATGTCTGTTAATTATATATTATTATTACTAGCAGTCTGTTAATTATGTACAGGATGAGTTTTATTTTCTGTCAAACTTTTTATCATACGAGAGATTGCCGATTGCAATTATAATAAATTGATCGATACATAAATGTCAGTTATTTGGATCGATCATATCGATCCATATAATATATGTACAAGTTAAAAGTTGAACCAAATTATGTGGTATGGATTTATTATTATTATTATTAAAGCTACATATTATTATTATTAAATATATATATATATATATATATATATATATATATTATATTTATTATTATTATTATTATTATTAAAGCTATGTATTCCATATATTAAAGCAGTAGAAATATATATTTAAAAATTCAGTTTCAAATTTAACTTAAACTTTTTATGTAAAACTTTATTTCAAAATCTGCATTTATTTTTCTAATAAATTTTCATTATTGATTTATACGTTAAAAGAATGCATCAAAATTTTCTTCCTTCTTAAAATAAAATTACGTAATTGTTCCATAAGAAATACATTCTTAACAATATGATTCACAAAACTAATTATAGACCTTAAATTATATTTGTACATATATATAATGTGTGTGTGTGTGTGTGTGTGTATGCACAAGATATATATGGAACATAATAAGAGATTACATATAGATACATACTTATTGTAAATTAATACAATTGCATATGTTTCTTTCACATTTCAGAAGAAAATTAATCATCTTTAAATTATAAATATTACAATGGAAGAAATAATAATATGCTATACAAGATAACAATATAATTATAATATAACATACATTATATTATAAATGTTATATCTATAAGTGTGAAATTACAAATTATGTATATTATATGTAACACACATGTTATCCAACAATTATATAGCTGTGTTTGCTGGGAAATATTTAATGTATATACTATATATGTATATAAATAAAAATACATTATTAAAATTTTTACCTGTGGTAAAGCTCCATAATTCCATATATATCCATGATGAGGAAAGCAATTAGCAACAAATCTTAATTTACCATTCTTAACATCTTGCTTGATAGGATTCAAAGTTTCTTTCAGACAGATCTCCATTTTAGCATTTGTCCATCTAGGTATTTCAACAATCATATTCATTATTTTATTCTTTTCATCTGCATAAAGAGGAATGTCATGCATGGGCGAGATTGGTACTCCTAGATCATTTTCTGTACATAAGAATAAAAATATATCTTAGAAGAAAGATATTGCTAATGTTAAGAATAATATATATTTTTATATAAATGTCTCAAACTTTTCCCAAATATGGAAAAAATATGACTTGAGAAAGTATATACAAATATACACATACACACAATATAATCGATAATTTTCTTATTCTTTTCCATTATACTTTCATATAAATAGTAGTAACATACAGTATTACACATTATAAGCTATGTTAACATTAAAAATTTTATTAATGTCTAGCTTCTAAAAATCATTTGTAGACATTAAAATCTGTGTTCTCTAAAACTATATAAGCAACAGAATGGAAACAAACTTGGAACGCCTGATCAAATTATTGTTATAAAATCAGGTCTGTTATAGACATATGTGTTATGAATTTAATTCGATATCAGAATATTAAATTTAACACAATTACATGTCATTCGTGAATTCGCAGAAAAGCAGTATTGGATTATATAATACAATACATGAAAAATATCAAAAACATATTACGTGGAAATGTACTTGACCTCGACCTTATGAAGATTATACATAACTTTCATCGCCGACTTCCGTAATTGTCAGTGTTGAAATTACATCAATTACATTTACTCACTGAAAAATATCCTGTAGTCTGTGCTGTTGAGCGCACCCTTCTCAACAATTGTGTACATATTTTGAAAAACTTTTGCAAACGTGTTAAGCTGCTCCAACACAGATCTGTTGATTGGTATGAATTGCGAAGTAACGCGTTTCAGTATACCCTGACAACGTAACATGTGCAGGCTATCTAACATGTGCGACAGTATTGTTAGACGGCCGGATTTTTTTGCGCATGCTTGACGCAACGATGACGTCACACGTATCACGTATATGCGATGGGCACACGGAACCCCTCAGTTTTGACGAGATCACAGAATGGATTAAATATATTGTTACATACGCGTAATTATAATTAATTTGCATATATTATAATACATATGCATATAATATATAATCTTATTTGATACTTTTAATTAATCCAAAATTTTTTAAAAATAAATTAAACGCTGGCAATGTAGGATCTGATTTCATACGATTGACTACGGCTGCGGTCAAGGGGACGCTGAAAATGCTTTAAAGCGTTTTGAATCAATAAGCCCATAACCATAAGCATAAGGAAATTGATTGGTTCACAAGTATATGCATAAGAAAATAAACCAATCAATTTTCTTATGCTTATGGTTATGTGCTTATGCAAAAGTCTGTGCTCCCCGCTTAAGGGCCTATCCAGACAAACTTGCATAGGTGCATATGCATAACATAAGACCATATGGACCAATGAGCATCGAGTATTAAGTCGCCATATTGACTTAAGGTGCAATTTCATTGACGCTAAAAAGTAGCGTCAACCATTGGTTAAACAAAGAAGTAAGTAGTTGCTTCATTGTTTAACCAATGGTTGACGCTACTTTTTAGCGTCAATGAAATTGCACCTTTAAGACCATACGCACTACGAACAAGCCTTTAAGCGGCCATATTCGTGAACGGTTTCGTCTTTTGTCGTCATGTGTCGTCATGTGTCGTTAAGTGTTTGGCCATGTTTGCCATGTGCTTTACATGAAATGATAGCGTTTTAATTAGAGGTAATTATCTTTTTTCTTTTATTAATTTTATTTCATCAAAAATTAAATAAAACTTAAGAATATTTTTCTATATATTTTTAGTAATATTTTTTACATTCTTTTAACAGTATAAATGTATTTCAGTACATTTAAGGTTATGCTTGAAGAAAATCACACAAAATGCATACTCAGCAAACACCGAATAATAATTATACAACTATTATTTGATGTTTGCTGGGTATATTGTATCTATTTATTTTCTTATTCTTCATGTAAAATTCTCTTTATTACAGTGTTCAAGCATCTATATTCTAATATTCTTTTTGAATGATTACACACTGGGTCATTAGAACACGAAGCATAAAAGTAAGTATAAATAAAAAATTACTTTATTAGTTTATTTCTTCTTTTTTTCACTTGTCATTGGCTGCGTTTAGCAGAGAAAGTTATTTTGCAACTATTGTAAAATTCGTGAGCCTGATTGATGTATGTTCTTAATTTTGACTGAATCTAAAAGCATGTACCAATCAAATTCACGAATTTTACAACAGTTACAAAGCAGCTTTTCCTGCTAAACGCAGCCATTGCCAGAAAAAATTCTATAATTATTCTTATACACTTAAAAGAAAATTTGTTTTACTTTAAATGTAAGTTGCTTGAATTTTGTTTCAATTTCAGATTTTGGTACAGCCTTATATTATATTATACTAGTATTATTTTTAAAATTTAATAATGCCTAAATGCAAAAAAAGTCGTATTTTTTTGCAATCAATTACAGTAAAACATCATGAACAAGAAAACGCTCCACATCATGAGTTACCTTCTACTGGTTACAATAAATCTTCATTTGAATCTGTAAAACCATCTGATAATCTACATGGTAATATTATATATTACATTCTATTTTTATTTTTACTAAAAGATATTTGCTAGATGTTATGTATTTTTTCTTCAATGTACATTATAATGATAGTTTACACTAATGTTTGTTATACCTGAAAATGCACATTCCTAATTGTAAAAAATGTATGTTTATAGAAATACTTTGTTTCAGATAATAATTTCAAAAGACAAGTATTACGACAGTTGCAAATAATTAATCTAAGACAACAACAAATTTCAGAGGATCTGAGCGTTTTATTGATGAAAGCAAATTCTGAAAAAAAATGAACCAATTATATCAAATGAAGAATCTGTATTTAAAAATTATAATTTTCCTTTAAAAGAAATAGAAGAATTAGAAGAATATCTATAGAAGAATTTCTAATCGAAGACAATAATTTCAAAAAGTTTGTAAGTAAATTTATTTACTGATGCATTTTTATTGTACTTAGAATTTATATAAATTTAGAAATTTATAAATTTGTATTTTAGGTAACGGAAATTATTAAAATTGGAGGAACATCCTACAAACAAATGGTGAAACGCGTGTTAACAAGAATAATGTCTAATGATTTGTCTAAGACTTATAGTTGGATAGGTTTTAAAGGAAAATGTAACTTTTCTAATCTTCGAATTTGCTCAGCAATATTATCTGCTGTACAAAAAACGCATAGCTGCTCGGAAGCGATGATAGATGCAGTAATAAAATATTGGCTTGCAAAATCTATCGAACGACAGAAACAGTCAACAAAAGAAAAAATTCGTAAGATTTAAAAGTACAAAAAAATTTTATTTTGAATGCATATTCGCAAGTAAAAGATAATTTTATTTTAAGTGCAACTTAAGTGCAATGTTAAGTACCAAAGATAAAAAATGACTTGTTTGAAATTTTTTAAAATAATTATTGTTTATTTCTAAAACACTTCAAGTTTTTAGAAATAAACAATAATCATTTTTTTCTAGTTTTCTCTTTTGTTGGAATGTATAATTATTTTTATAAATTATTTTTTTTTAAGTCAAGTTTAAGATTCATGTGTATACTTAAATATTAGACACTTAGACATAATCTTCGGTAATTCTGTTTTATTAAAAAATTTTGATTTTATGAATTCTAGTATTAAATTCAAAAGTATTATTTCCATTATAAGTATAATATATTTTATATTTATATGATATTTATATAAATATTATGAAATATTAATAAATACGTGTATATGTATTTTCATAAAAATATGTGTAAAAACTTTTAAAAATTATTTTTTAAAATAAAAAAATGAATTGAAAATTACTTTATGTATTTATTAATTACGTAATGTAAACATATATAATCAAATAATCAGTTCTAAAAAACATGAAATTGTTTATTTTCAAAAGGGCAGTTAAATTCTTTTTTATATAAGAACAAAAATTACTTAAAATACAAAAGAAATTAATAATGTGGAAGTATTAAAATTAAGAAACAGATACTATCAGTTAATAGAAAAAATTAATACTTTCACATTCTCAACTTATATTATTTTTTATTTAATTTTTTGATTTTTTTTTTTTCGTAAAAAGATGAAATTTAGCTGTTTTTGAAAATAATAATTTATGTTTATGAAGAGACTATTTATTTTATTCTAATGTAAATACATAAGTCCATATTCTGAATCTTCTTTTATCGATAAAAGTGGCTTATAATACTTCTAAAAGTGGCTTATAAGACTTTTCATTGACTATAAGCCACTTTTAGAAGCACTTTTATCAATAAACGAGAACTCAGAATCTGGGCTATAGAATATTCTGTGTAATATATAACGCATGAAACGGTCCACCTTTCTCGACGCTCCGGAACGGCTCGTCGGATAGCCAGGATTCGAGCGAAGGAGGGGAATAAATCAACCTGTGCGAACATTTTCTTAAAACTAGAGTTGTCTTTATTGTATGGGGAATGAATTATTGACAGTGTGTATATGCGAGAGTATAAATGTCGGTGTGATTGTTCGTGAAATAATTAAACTCGAAAATAATCCGGTGTACAAATAAAAATGGTAGGTCTGGCGCGGGTAGTAATATACAACGGGCGTACGGGAAACGCGTGTAACTGATAACGGACGATCACGGAAACGTGGACTTAAAACTACGGAAACGGAATCAAGACGAATACTCAGGTCGGACTCGGAACCTAGGACTAGTGTTGTACCGTCGACGGGGCTGATTGTCAGGACGGCTCAGAGATGCCGGTGACACCCCGTGCAGTTGGGCAATGTCTCGACTGAGACTGCGTACAGGGAAACCGGAGATATCCGGTGGATCGGACGACAAGTCGTCTCGGACTGGATCCGGAAAAAAAAACCGGAGACACCCGGCGGATCGAGGAACGCCTCGACCGGGATGGGATGATCGACACCGGAGATACCCGGTCGAGCCGAAGATCTCAGCCTGGGCGAGATCTGATCAGGATCTGGCCTCGAGGCACTGGTCGTTCCGGCTCTTATATCCGGTCGGAGATCCCCTGGCGACGCGCTCAGGTGGGGCACGACTGCGAAATACGCGAATTTTCGGACAGAGCGAGAGAGAGAGAAAGAGAGAGAGAGAGCGAAACAGCAAGCGCAAAGCGATGAGAGCAAGCGAGACAGCGAGCGTGCGAGCGAGGAAGTGTACGGGCATGCATGGTTGTGAGCGAGATAGCGGGAAGTTAGCGGGTGCGATTAAGCAAGCGAATAAAGAAGTAATTATATTTTATTAAATAATGACAAATAGGAACGAGGCACGGGCGCATCGTTACACGCACATTTATAGAACATTCTATTAGGACATATATGGAATATTCTATGAATATACATAAAATGTTACATAGAATATTCGATAGATTATTCTAGTCACATTCAAAAAACATTTAAAATAGTGCCATTTGAATATACTTTAAACATACTATAAATATAGAGAAGAGAAGAATGTCTTATAGAATATTCGAAACATTCTTAAAGAATATTCATAGCACGTTCATAGAAATGTTTAGTACTATCTAGGTATGTATAAATGGATATGAATATATATATATATATATATATATATATATATATATATATACAGGGTGTCCCTGAGCATGTGCTCACTCATTTGTAAAAAGGTAGAGCGCAGTAAATTAAATAAAGAAATCCTATTATATGTAACGATTTTTGTAATAACAATCGAAATATTAATTATTGAAATCGGACGAATGAGAGAAGCGCTCGAGCGCTCGAGCTATAGCACGGCCCACCGTGTCAGATATTGCCTGCCGGCACGCGGCGGGAGGAGGGACAGCGCGCCAAACAATGCCAGAAATGAGACGCGAGAAGCGAGTCTTGACGCGATGCAATGAAACGTGAGAATGGCGATAGCGGTAACCACGGCGCGCTGTCCCTCCTCCCGCCGCGTGCCGGCAGGCAATGTCTGACACGGTGGGCCGTGCTATAACTCGAGCGTTCGAGCGCTTCTCTCATTCGTCCGATTTCAATAATTAATATTTCGATTGTTATTACAAAAATCGTTACATATAACAGAATTTCTTTATTTAATTTACTGCGCTCTATCTTTTTACAAATGAGTGAGCACATGCTCAGGGACACCCTGTATATACAAGGTGACCCATTTTAACTTAGGCAGCCAAATAACTCGAAAAATAAGCACACTACGAAAAAATGGTTAGAATCAAAATTTCGTCATTTCGAGGGGGACGTACAATGACGTTAAAATCAGCCCCCCCACCCCTCCCCCTGGGCGGTGAGGGGGGGCAAGTTTGAAATCTTAAATGGAACCCCCTATTTTTCATTGCATATTCTTGTAGCTTATCTCGAGAGCTTTCCAAAACACTATAATTAAGTACCTTTTTATTAAGTACTTTTTGAGTTATAAGGCTTGAAATAATTTCTTAAATTTTACATAAACCATAAAATATCTAGTAAACCATTTATTTTTCGATTATCTTACCTTCATACTTTTATGTACAAAATAATGAGAGGAATCAATTAGTGTAAAGAAAACATATAGTTGTTTCTAAGAAAAAATATGTAATTTGCAATTAACAATTCCATATTTTTTCTTAAAAACAACTGTATGTTTTCTTTACACCAATTGATTCCTCTCATTATTTTGTACATAAAAGTATGAAGGTAAGATAATCGAAAAATGAATGGTTTACTAGATATTTTATGGTTTATGTAAAATTAAGAAATTATTTCAAGCCTTATAACTCAAAAAGTACTTAATAAAAAGGTACTTAATTATAGTGTTTTGGAAAGCTCTCGAGATAAGCTACAAGAATATGCAATGAAAAATAGGGGGTTCCATTTAAGATTTCAAACTTGCCTCCCCTCACCGCCCAGGGGGAGGGGTGGGGGGGGCTGATTTTAACGTCATTGTACGTCCCCCTCGAAATGACGAAATTTTGATTGTAACCATTTTTTCGTAGTGTGCTTATTTTTCGAGTTATTTGGCTGCCTAAGTTAAAATGGGTCACCCTGTATATTGTGGTTTATTCAAATAAAAATTATCGGTCATCGTTCATTAAATGATTAAGATATATCTATTTTATTTAATAAATAACAATGACCGTTGCCGGTGAGCCTGAAAAAAAGATTAATATTTATTTTCAACACGGATAATTAAAATATGGAAATAAAAAAATCGAAAAAAAATAGATCCCATCGTTATCCCATAATTTACTTAGGCTTAAAAGTTGTGGAATGAATGACAGTTTTTTACAAAAAATTTTTAAGAAAATCGATCAGTACGTGTTTTTGGTAAATCAACAATTTATATTTAAAACTTGAAAATCTTAAAGAAATACGGTTTGAAAAATTTTTTCGATATTTTTTATCAAAAGTGCGTTTAAAAAGAAAAATTTCAAAAAAAAAAACGTCCCATTTGGCCCATTTTTCGCAAACTAATGGTCGTCTAAAAAAAAAGTAACGTAATTTTTGAAAAATCGATATCTTGAAAACGATTCGACAAAAAAAATTGAAAAAAATCATGGAGGCCTCTTTCAACCAATACTAAAACATAAAAAATTTTCAAAAAAATCGGCGATGCAAAAGTTAAATGGTGTCCGATTTGGTGTGGAACGCCCCATATATACAGGGTGACCCATTTTAACTTAGGCAGCCAAATAACTCGAAAACCAAACCCAGGAGAGAAAAATGTTTCAGACAAAAGTTGTTTGGTTTCGAGGGGGCCATAAGATGGTATCATTGGTTTGACCTTGAAGAGTCATTTGAAGGTCACATGAAGGTCACCTCAATTTTTTTAAATGGCACCCCCTATTTTTTATTACATATTCTTGTAGCTGACCTCGAGAGCTTTCCAAAACACTATAATAAAATATTTTTTTGTTGAGTATTTTTCGAGTTATGAGGCTTGAATAATTTCTTAATTCTACATAAATCATAAAATATCTAGTGAAATATTCGTTTTTCGATTATTTTACCTTAATACTTTTATGCACAAAATAATGTGAAAAATCGATTGGTGTAAAGAAAACACATAGTTATTTTTAAGAAAAAATATGTCATTAGCAATTAACAATTACATATTTTTTCTTTGAAACAACTATGTGTTTTTTTTACACCAATTGATTTCTCTCATTATTTTGTACATAAAAGTATTAAGGCAAGATAATCGAGAAATGAATATTTTACTAGATATATTATGGTTTATGTAAAATTAAGAAATGATTTCCAGCCTCATAACTCGAAAAGTACTCTGTGAAAAAA